GAGCAACGCACCAACCATCCAGCTGATAGAAGCCCGATCGATGGCGCCGTACTGATAAGCAGAATACAAGCAGATCCACAGTGAGGCGTCTAATAGTAGCGGCTCATCGTTCGGGCTGGATGGGCAGTGGGTTGTCTAATCACTGGACGAGTTGTACAGCTCGCAAACCGCGTCGAATGTGCGGCGCGATGGGAGGGATCGTGCCAAACGACCGCCTCCCGTCCGCGACCGGTCGCTGGCCAAATCATGGACTATGAAAGCAGTCAATGAAAATGACGATATAAACATCAGCTAAAACCCAATGGGCACTTAAGGAATGCACCTTAATGTCTATAATATCCTAAGTGGGAGTTGAAAACATGAGCAACCCACAAAGGTGGGTAAGTCTAACCTCATTTACGTTGTTTATGAATTATGAGCAAGGTCCACCGTTGACACTCCGTAACAAACTTAATCCCTATTTCTTCGAAACTGGTGTTAAGTCAGGAAACAACAGACTATGAGAGAGTTCGTTATAATAGCATTGAGCCTTTGAATTGGTATCCTTCCTTGAACACATTTAGCATGATGGATAGTTTGAAGAATTACCTTTGTACCCCAGCTTTCTCGCAGATACTTCTGTATTTAACGCAGTCCATGAGACCCAACTTGATTTTTGAAAGCACTTGATCATTTTGGTCGATAACAGCGTGTAATTGGCGATATTCGGAGACTAATCGTAGACACGGAGGACACCACTGCAAACATTTAAAATAAGTACACATTGTCAGAGATGTGGGACGTGTACCAAAGCCTTGACGATGCTTTTGCCTCACACATCGGTGACGGGGCATAGCCTGAGTTCGTCGCATAAGTGACTCTCTCCCTTTTGAAGTCACAGTTCACGATAATTTTGACATTCTTTCGGTTGAAAAGCGGAGGTGGTGGTGGAGAATATTACGGCGGTTGTGAAAAAATCACCCACCGGAGTGAAGTAATCGATTATCCACAGCTCTCCACTTCTCAAAGCAGAATCATATTCTTCAACACTGAGAACATGCAACGGTGAAGCAATAGACTCCTTGATAAAAGCAGTGACGTCGTGGTACGATGGTTTGTTCACTGAAATTAATTTGGGCTGAATCGCCGGTGGTACAATGATCTTATAAATTGTTTACCGTAGTCAATTTCATGACCACCGGTTGTTTTGAAAACAACGAATTGTGGCAGTTTGGTAATGTCCAACAGATCTCGACAAACTTCCATGAATTGAGAACAGTCCGCATAGAAAATCTGAAAAGGAAAGAATATGTGATGTTCAGCTACCTGAGTAAAAAAAGACCAAAAGATGTGCCCTCCAAGGAAACCGATTTCCATTCAAAACATTTAATGCAGTGAAATAGGTATTTGACCTTCACTCTTTCACTCTGACAAGTAGTGCCCACCCTATGTTTGTTACTTATTCTTCTATCCTGAATTGTTTCGACCGGAAACTGATTTGAGGTGCCTGAGAAGCCGATATCAAGGGGAATAGTCAGAGCAGGGATCGGTATTCGAGCCAAGTTCCTGTAGCCTGAACGGTGGGGTCTTGCGCAATCATGCAGCAAATGGACAGCAATTTTTCTTGGTCGCTTTTCTCTGACTGCATGAGCGAGTTCCTCGAGCTGAGTGCTGTGGACATGAAGGCGTAGCTCGTATTATAGCATTCCCTAAGAACTCTAAAAGAACACCACAGCTGTGGCTTTTCCATGTGTTATTCTGGCTTAAGCTGCCCAAGCGAATTTTCCACTTTGAGGAGACCAACAATGACCCTCTCTCTATTCATCGAGCAAGGGCTATCCTGTAACCTGTGTTCGCAAAGGCGTTGATTTCATGACACTCGGAAGCTTTGTCATTGTCCCACTCGTAGACTCCGGCGCCTTTTTCTCTTTGTTGGGAAGTCGGTTATCATCAATAGCAACTCGTCATTCGGATGGGGATCATCGTCTAGCTTCGTATCTCCAAGAAAAAGCGAAAGACGAGACGACTAACGACTGCGTGGCGCATTCGTAGAAGACGTAGGAGATCGTTGTTCGAAGTTGATCTCTCGGCGATTCTATGGTTTACAAGACAAGCGCCTGGAGGACTATGTGAATGTTACTGATGGTTACTGTTAGATTTCTCAGAATGTAGTGATGGTCCGTGGGCGGCAAAGATCCTTAGGGGGGAGACAATACTTGTAACTTTGGGCTTCAAGACTTTTGGATCGACCCACGAGGAACGAAGCGCTATCTTCAACGCCATTTTTTCTTGTTGAAGTCTTATACATGGCGTACTACGACATTTGCTGATAGAAAAGTTTTTGTTCAAACCTACCCTCACATCCGGCAGTAACTGTGGCAATCTCTTGTAATCCTTTCGTTCTTTGAGCGTTTCCTTATTGTTCACGAACCAAACGGCGGTTGGCCACTCGACCGAGTCTTCTCCTGAAAAAGTTGTCAACCATTCATCACCAGCTACTTCTTCCCATTCTCCGACGGAATCAAAAAACTAATGTAACATTGGTGAAGGTGTATTAAAATCAGAGGAAGTCACTCAGAAAAATGAGGTTTGTTTGAGTTCTCCTGCATCATGCATGTTCTACCAACGCCCCCTACGTTGTGACCCACTGCTCTCGCACCTGAACATCGTTTGTGAACAACTAGTTTCTACAGTTTTTCTACCCGTCAAGACTGATGAAAAGAGCAAAAAGGCCGGGAAACGAATTCAGAGGAGGAAGGCCTAATGACAAAATGACATGTGCTTGGAGATAAAGTTACTATGAACCTATGCCAAGACGTGTACTCGGGGTTACTGAAGAATTTTTTGAGCAAGCTTTCCACTTGCAGTAATTTTCCACTTCAACAAAACTCCTCATATTAATCAAGTACTGAATGGTTATTAGCAAAAAAGTTACCTAGAAGTCCATGAAGATCCTTTTCCTCAATTTCTTCTAGGCCATCGAGGTATGAGAGGACTTCTTCGAGAAGCTCCTTCGGATCCAACGAATTCATCACCTGAATTCACAATTTGTACATGTATGATTAATTGTATGTAGGCAGTGTTTCAAAGGAATATTCACGCGACGAAGGAATGCTCAAAGAGCCTGCATTCATGTTTATTTAGAGCAGACTGGAATAACGTAACTGTGACGGAACTGCCCTTAACCATGGATTGTATTACCATTTGCATTGCTGGTTCAGTGGCAAAATGCTCCTTTGCTGAGCGGGTGGCCCGGGTTCGATTCTCGGCCGATGCATCAAAACTTGTAGCGGAATCAGTTTTCAATCACAGGAAGTTTATCTCCCCTTCAGTGTATGATAGTTGAAACTATTTAAAGCAGCAAGCAACTCAGTAAAGAAGAAAAACATGGCGGTAACTTCAGTGGCGACTCGATATAAAGGGCATGGTAAGGAATAAAGACTTTTTACTACTATCCAGAATACTTTCTTGTCGCTGTGTACCCTTTGAGTCGAAGTAAATGGTCACCACACGCTGCAACCACAGTGCTGCACCAACAGTTTCCTTCAGGTATACTCTGTAGATGACATCATGCTTGGTCCCTATTCCTCATAAAGGCCCAATTTCAAATGAGGTTATTCAAAACGAATGCTTATTGGTTGTTTCCACCTATAAAAGGCCCATACGAGAAGGTCTAGCAAACTTTGGTCTCGGATCCTGCCACTTCCCTTTCTATCTACATGTAGCGAAGCCATCTATTTGTAATAAACCGATAAAAAAACTCTGTTTTTGAACCTGCTAATTCGCCCCGCCGACACTACTCTGTTCGAAAAAAATTGAATCCAAAAATATTTCTGTTCCTGGTACCAATAAAGCATGACCGGAGGCATAGGTAGAGACAAATCTCGTCTACCTGTTTACCAGCAATTTCTTTAAATTATACATATATTAGCTCGAAAAAACCCTCAAACACCTCACTGCCCTATCGATCAAAATGTCGATTTTTTTCGTTGAGCACACTTTGAACAGCCAAAGAATGGAATGGCTAAGTCCGAGCCATTCCAAAAACCTCGATTTGACAAAAGAGTAGGCATAGTAGTATGTAAAATTTCTGCCTCTACGTAAACAAGCAGTTTGAGCACTCTGATAGCGCCAGTAATTCTCTTGGGATCGGATTCTGCTCACTCACTTACCTTTTCCTGTTCCACGTTTACGTTTTGTGTTGGGTAGTACCTAACACCACTGGTCACTTTTAAAACATCGCATAAATCTTTGCCTCCTCGAGACGTGCAGTCGATACTTCCAACATTTACGAGACCATCCAGCATCGTTGCCAACTTTCTTCTGAAATTCTTGTTTTTCACGACCTAAATCTTCTATCATCTACCCAAGTGCCAGAGTTCCACTGTTAACACGAAGGGCGTAGCGGACCCTGTAACTATTGTTTTTTTGAGGTTCCATGTCATTCGCCATCAATTGTTATGAAGATCGGCAAATCACCAGAACCTAAGAGACCCCCAAATATGACAGCGTTGGGTAGAATTGCTCAATAGAGCTAAGAGAGTCAACAAAACCTGAGACGAGAGGAAATCGCTCCCACGTAAACGCTGGTTCCGGGACATAGAAGAAATGTACCTTCAAACGTGCGAGAGAAGAGAAATTGATGATGTAGGTAAACACACAAATGGCATGAACAGAATGGAATGAGTGGGATGAAAGATTGTCAGAATTTACTTTGTAGACCGAAACCAGTCATGTTGACTAGCACCTCCGAAAGTTTCTTTTTCCGGGATCGACCTGAATGTTGCGTGGTGTACAATTCTATAGGGGAACAGTCCCACCCACCGGGGTCTGAAGATCATCAGAGAATTTAACGAATTTCAGTACCAATGACAAAGTTCATATTGATAGGCTTCGTCGACCTCGACCATCTTTGAAAAGCAGTACAGTACCTGTTGATAGAACTGAGACAAGAGTCACTTCTATCGCAAAAGTCGATGATCCATGGTCGAGAGTCGTACGGCTGCCACGATGTTGTTAATGCCTCGATATTGTCAGAAGTCAGATGGATTACCTAAAATTCAAAATTATTTTATGAAAACAATGATTCGGTCTTCACCTTTGATTCTATACTGATGCTTCCTAATTTATAGTTGGAGAAAAACTTTGCTCTTTTCCATGCCCTTCGCCGAACTCTTACTGGCTTTTCTAATCTTTTTTTCCAATACACGAATGCACCAGGCTAAAATGAGAGGAGCCTTTCCAGAGGGAAACAACCCGTTTACATAAAAAAAAACCTAATAAATGATGAAGCTCCAGACGATATTAGTTGAAGTTCGTGTCGATTTGAGGAGTAGGAGGTTTCTTTCAAGCACAAAATACTTGTACTCGAAATTAGGCTACTGTTCCTTCAGAGATCTTGCCTTTTAGAATAGGGTACTGCTCTCTGACCTGGCACTAAGTGCGGCCTAAGTTGGATCGCGGTCTCACCTGACAATATCTGATCCGTTCCCTGAACATTTTAAAACGTTTGAATACGTTAGACCGTAGATTGGCCGCAGCGCCCATCAAGTTAGATTTTTTCATGGAACCTTCTCTTTGGGTGGAAATCTTTTTGGAGGAAGCCATTACAATATGCTCTACCTTACTACCGCTCGTGCTAGAGCAGAGAAGGTTAGGTGCCGGTTCCGAAGGTCGGTACTGGTGACAAGAAACGATTCTAGGCCAGGACTCTTTTCAGCCTAAATCGAAGGAAAGAAAAAACCGGGTTTAGTGAAATGGTGACTTCAAAAATGCAATGGAGAGAAGTTGGTCTGTCCCATGGAGGGAGCGCAGAAATGAACGCAAAAACGAATGTCCCTTCAAACACTTTCACCTCTGCTAATATAGAAAGTAACGATACTTACCTCAGATGTCACTCGCTGCATTACGAATTCTTGTAATAATTCAGAATCACGTACTCCATTGTAAAATTCGCCCTGAAATCGGAAACTGTATAGTTCTTACCTGGCAGGAGTAACGAATGAACGCGGCGATAGTATCGTCAACTTATTGTTAGCTCACTGACGCTAAAACTCTACTAAAAATCTTTAAGAGCTGAGAAAAAAATTCTCAAAAAGTCCTTGGTTCCCATTCACCTGTGCCTGATAAAAATGAACTGATTCTTAGCGAAGGTGACCAAAACACAACGTCTAATCTAATTGCTAGGTCGAAAGCATTGGAAAGAACACGATGTTTGAGTTGGGACAAAGTGAAAAGCGGGTCTGTCACTCATGCTAGCCGAAGCACTCATTGCTTTGTTCAAGTAAGGTCAAAGAAAATTTCTTGAGTGACTGGGAACTATGGACTTTTTGAGGTTCTTTTTTGAAGTTTTTGACTAAAACTTTCAGTAGAATTAGGGGTAGGCTAGCTAGTTAATAGAGGAGCGACTGCTGATGTGATAACTAACTTACCGATGGGTAGAGTACAAGTGATGGGTAAGCGTTCACATTTTGGGACTGGCAAAGAACAATATCTTCAGCACAGTTCACGGCTCCGATCCGAACCACTCCCTCCATGGCTCTGGCGAATTTACGCCACTGTAACAGAGTTGATTTAAAGGCGGATTGAGTTACAAGAAAGTTCTTATAAACATAAAGGAAAAGGTTTCTGTCACAGTCCATGCACTTCCAGGATCCGCCCACTCACTTTGTTTCTGTTTAGAATATTAGTTGTATTTCAACACGTTCAATGATTTTCAAAAGCCAATCTATGTACAAGTCAATGTTTTCATCCCACCAACGAAATCCGGGAGAGTTCAACAACCACGAGGGATGGGAGACAAGGTTGGGTTATACGGCTGTCTATCCATGACTCATTCCCGGACCACATATGTGCAAAGGGCGTCTCCCATAAGTACCACCTACCCTCCATACAAAGACTTATGTGTCCTTTTGGGGCAAAGCTATACTAGCACTCCTTTGACTGTTTCGAGTCCAGCCTATGTATCAGAACCACTTCACTGAATTATTATCGCTATATGAATCATTATCCATGATATATATAAACCGCTAACTTTGTGTGTCCGTTTGTATGCCCGTTTGTGCGTCCGCCACGTAGGCACAATA